CCTCTCCTGCCTCGACCGCTGCTCCCCTCAGCAGTGTTTTTGGTCTGTGTGCCTGTTCTTCTCCCCGCTCTGCCTCTGGTGAATTCTCTCACCCTCCTGTGCCTCTGACTGTACCCCAGTTCTTGTATAAATAAATAAAATCTTAAAAAAAAAAAGAAAAGAAATCAATCCACATATATAGCAATACTTAATTTATGACAGAGAAGCCAGAACCATGTAATGGGTCAAAGAAGCCTCTCTTTAACAAGTGGTGCAAGGAAAACTGGATGACCACATGTACAAGAATAAAGTTGGATTGCTCTAACTCCTTGCACAAAAAGGAATCAAATGGTTTAAAGACTTAGATATAAGACCTGAAACAAAGTATATAAAGGAAACATTGTTGACGTGTTCCACAAGTGATGTCTTTGAAGATTTGATTCCTATGGAAAGGAAAATAAAAAGTAAATAGTTTGAACTTCCTCAATTTCAGAAGCTTTTACATAGTGAAAGAAAATATGTGTATATTGAAAAGGCATCCCATTGATTGCCAGAAAATATTTACACATTATACAACCACCTAAGGGTTAGTATTCAAATAAAATAAAAAATGTATACAATTTTAATAATGTAACAACCCAATTAATGAATGGGTAGTAAATTTGAAGAGACAGTTCACCAAAGAGGATATACAGAAGGCCAGTAGACAAAAGGAAGAATGTTCCTCGTTGCTTTTCACAAGGGAGCTGCAGGTCAAAACTACAGTGTCATATCTCACACTCAAGAGAATGGCACACATTAAAACAAACCCCAACAACAAGTCCTGGCGATAATGTAGAGAAAGAGGAACCCTGTCACACCATTGGTGGAACCTTAAGCTGGTATAGACCTTTCAGAAAGAAATCAAGATTTACCTTCAAAAACTAAAAAATGGAAATACTGTATGACCCAGTAATCCCACTCTTAGGTATCTCTCCAAAGAAAAACATCAACTCAAAAAATTATATGCTCTACAATGTTTACCACAGTATTATTACAATAGCCAGGGCCCATAGTTAATTGTGTCAGGATGAACTACATCCACACATATTCAGCCATTAGGCACCAAGTAATGTTTACATTTACAAGAGAATGGAAGGTGTTTAAAGGAACTCTGTAGTAAAACAAGTTAGAGTTACAAGGTAAATACATATTGGATAATTCAAGCAAAATACTGATAAAATTTATCAGACACTAATAAGCAAAGTGAGGCTCCTGAGGTTAAAAGGAAGGGGCTGGGAGAGAGGGTCAAAGTAGATGGTGGTGCAAAAAAAATCAATGTGTTAATGTAATTGAAAACATGATTGAGTTTTCTTAAGAAATGAACTATAGAATTACCAAATGGTTCAGCTATTATTTATCCAGAGAATACAAAAGCACTTATTTTTAGGAGGTATATGCCCCACTGTGCTTATTGCAGCATTATTTGTAATATACCACATTTGAAAAAATCCTCAGTACACATAGAAAAACATTATGGTATTTATATTCACAAAATAGCTATGAGAAATTTAGCTATGAGAAAGAATGGGATTTTGCCTTTTCCAGTAGCATCTTAAGGACCTTTAGTGCATCATGCTTAGTAAAATAAGGCAGACTCAGAAGGATAAATAACATTTGATACCACACATAAGTGGAAAAAAATAATCAAAGCCAACTTAAAAAATAAGATAAATCTCTAAGAATCAGAGAACAGTTTTAAGTTTACCAGAGGGGAAAGGTGTGGGTAAGGTTTTTTCATGAAATGGTTATATGGTTTCAGTTGTATGTTGATGGATGGACAATAGAATTTTGGCGGTGATCATGACATATATAAAAGTTAAGATTTAATGATCACACTCAAACTTAGATGAACTGTAAATCAGTATTATCTTAATAATTAATTTTAACAAAAATGTTGACTATGGATGAACAAATACAGATGTTGAGGAACAAGCCATAACAGCAAAATTCATGACTTTCAGTATGTCTGTGCAATCTTCTCCAGGCTTTAAAGCAAATGTCAAAATAGTTATTAAAACTTTGAATCATACACAGTATCTTCTGTAAAATCAAGCTCAAATCAATTACAGGATAAAAATTGAAAAATTAATATTTATGTGGAAATTTGAGTTAATGTCTTGATCTTAGAAACTGGTGGTGAGTGGAAATTAAATAAAAAGCCTATTTTTTTGGAATACAGTGCAAGAAATATCAGAGGACATATTGTCATGAAAATTTATATTAGTAACAACAAAATATTCCAAATCAATGACCTAATTTTATACCTATAAAATTTGAAATATAAGAGAATATTGAACCTAATGCTAAGAAAATAATGTAGATTGGGTCAATGAAATAGACAGTAGAATCAGCTAAACTGACATTATATATTGATAATAGGGCCTCCCTGGAGGTGCAAGGGGTTAACTCTCAGCACAATGATGGTATTTGCATCCACTGAAGCATGAGTTTGATGCCCCACCAGGGAGCTAACCCACATGGCAGGGCAGACCTCTCCTGTCTCACCGGCGGCTCCCCTCAGCAGTGTTTCAGTGGATCTGCCTGTTCTGCTCCCCACTCTGTCTCTGGTGAATCCTCTTACCCCATGCACCTCTGGCCTGCACCCCAGTCTACACAAAAATCACTAAATAAAATTAAAAAAAGAAGATAACCTACTGAATGAGAACTATATTTACAAATCATGCATAATACATAAACATTTGTAAAGCTTTAAGAAAACTTAATCCAGTGTAGTTTATAATTCAGAAAGATTCCTCCCTCTAATTCCTGGAAGGATGCCATGTCAGCCTCATGTCATTGGCCAGCTTTGTTTTGGATAATAAAATTACCGAAGTTACATTTTACAGGCAAAGGCAGAGCCTCTGCAGTCACTAGTGAATGTTCTAATACATGGATTAATGCCTTGGGCCTATTGTAAACATGATTGTTCATATATACTGAGAAAACCAGATATTCATATTTAAAGTAGGGATTCCTCAGCTGCAATGCCAATATAATACAGTGTGCAGAATCTACCTAGAGCACACTTCATTGCCCTCTTGGAATGAGGTGGGAACTTAATGATTAATGTGAATTCCTCATGAAATCATCAAGGAGATGCTCTTGCTGCCTACTGTGTCTTGATTAGTAAAAATCTTTTGTCACTGATGCATAATTCTCATTTCTTGCCAGAATTCATAAAACTGTTAAGCTTCTTATCCTGCATGTATGAGAAAATTACATATATTTCATGATTTGTGACTAAATCATGTTTCTAAAATGTGACCGTTAATGTGACCAAATGTTTCTAAAACTCATGTTTTATTTGAAGTAATAAGCTTTTTGTTAGGCAAAAAATTTCGATGCATGAATATTGTAATCCTTGTGGGAACTCAAAATTTTGATATATTTAAATTAAAATGGAATTCTGTAACATTCAAATGTTCTAAAATAAAACAAAAAAGTAAGAAATAAAGGAGAAACAAATAAGAGAATTGATATGTCACCAAATGTATGTTTTACATGATCTGATTCTTTTGCATTATTATTACTGAAGTAGGTGCAATTTGATTTTTGATTTAAACCCTGGACATTTGGACCTTCCTGGTGGCCTAGGGGGTAAAGTCTCAGTGCTGTCACTGCTGTAGCCTGAGTTCAATCCCCTGGTCAAGAAGCTAACCCACATACGGCACAGCAGACCTCTGCTGTCTCACCCGCTGCTCCTCATTGTGTGTCTGGTGAATCCTCTCACCCCTGTACCTCTGGTCTACACCCCAGTTCTTCTATGAAAAAAAAAATCTCAAAAAAATGAAAAATAGGGCCTCCCTGGTGGCGCAAGGGGTTAAGTCTCAGCACTATGAAGCTATCAGCAGCCACTGCAGCACCAGTTGGATTCCCAGACGGCCATCCCTGGGTGGCCTGGGAGCTGACCCACATGACGCAGCAGACCTCTCCTGTCTAACCCACTGCTCTCCTCAGCAGTGTATTTCAGTCAATCTTGTTCTGCTCCCCACTCTGTGGAGAATCCTCTCACACCCCCTACCCTGCACCTCTGGCCTGCACCCCAGCTCTTGTATGCATAAATAAATAAAATCTTTAAAAAAATAAAAAAGTATTCAAAAACAAATAAACAAACCCTGGACATTATATATAAAGAAAATATAAATTGAGAAACAGTGTTGAATGGAAATCACCAAAAGACTATGTTAAACAAAATCATTGAGTTGTCTGTGTCTTTGTGTGCATGTGTGTGTGTTCTTTAATATATCTCAGGCTATGTGCTAGAAATATAGAGAAAGTCCTATAGGCCAGCTTTAAAAACAAAACCAAGGAAAACTATAGGAAAAGGGTTCTCTACCCAATGCAACCCATCAAATAAGACAACTTTCAGACAATATTGCCCTCATCACACCAAATAGCTTGATAAAATCCAAACTTTATTCACTATCCCATCAGCAAATGTGGAGTGGAGATCATATATTTCTACCCTTCCCTCAAAACTAATATTAGGATGGAATCAGAGGAAGTTTTTAACAGCCAAGTCTTTATGGCACAGTGACATCACTAATCTACATCATGGCATAAGCAGAGACTTTGTATGCATCTTGGATTTATATCCACATCCAGCAGTAATGGATAGTTCTTCTCTCCCCATGGATAACTGCTGGTCTCCATGATGTTATTTTCAACCAATCATCCTGTTTAGTAAAAATATTTAAGACTCAGAAGATGGAGAAGGTCTCTACACAGCTCTTTAATTCATAAACACTATTAAATTGTGATATGTTATGCCTCTATACTATGTTGCCAGAGGTCTTAAATATCGTTAATGTGATATGCTCAAAAGCAAACACACACAAAAAAAGAAATGGTTATGTTGGAATACATTGAAATAAAAGTATCAAACCTTAGGATAGAGAAACGAATGAGTAATACATAAAACTAAAAGAATTTAAATTACAGATTTAATCTTACAAAATATAAAATGTATATAAATGGTCTATGTATAGTATTTTAATCATACAAAAATGTATACAAATGTTCTATATATACCAACATAAATAATGGCAGAGATAACATGATCATATGCTGTATATCAGCAGGTTACTTCAAATATGATGATGCATGTAGTATGGAAGTAGAAAAATGAAAATAACCATGTGGACATTAACAGAAACCAATGATTCCCACAAAGTGGATTTCACAGCAAAGAAAGTTACCCAGAGCAGATACAAAGCATAATACAATAATCAACTAAGAATATATAACCAACATAAATTTTATTGATCTATCAGCAAACCTTCAAAATACATAATGCAATAGAAATCATGAAATCAAATAGATTTGCTAAGTAACAATACTCTCGGGGCCTCCCTGGTGGTGCAAGGGGTTAAGACACAGCACTATGAAGCTATCCGCAGCCACTGCAGCACAAGTTTGATCCCCGGCCAGGGAGGTGACCCACATGGCGCAGCAGACCTCTCCTGCCTCGCCTGCTGCCTCCTCAGCAGTGTATTTCAATACATCTGCCTGTTCTGCTCTCCCCTCTGTCTCTGGTGAATCCTCTCACCCACAGCATCTCTGGCCTGCACCCCAGCTCTTGTATGCATAAATAAAGAAATCTTAAAAAAAAAAAAAAGTAACAATACTCTCAGTAGTTGATGGAATTAAATGAAAAAAAGTAGGATACAAACCTCATCAAAACTTCAAACTAAAAAAAACCCAAATCATAAAAACAACACTACGAATTACCCATACTTAGTTGGTATATATGCAAGTGTCCACCCAAGAACAATACAGTAGATGCTCTTTTTAATTACTTATAAGCCATGTAGAATATATACTTCAATCTACACAGCTAATGTCAACATGTCTTTTGGAGTTTTGATCATAAGTGACCAGAATGGTATCAAAGTAAAAACAGATAACTGAAAGTTAATGGGGAAATTTCCAAACAATTGGAGACAAAAGAGCACCTCTGGCCTATACCCCAGTTCTTGTATGCATAAATAAATCTTTAAAAAAAAAAGGTAAGTGTACTTGCATACCTCTATCAATATGGACAAAAAATGAAGCCAAAGATCAATAATACTAATGAAGCAAGATAAAATGATAAACCATGAAGACTTTAAAGGGACTATGATGGGAAACTAATTTGACATGCTGAATTTATACACTTATTAAAATGAGTCAGTTTCCCAAAAACCACAAATTACCATAAATCACTAAACACGGAAGCTAAAATGAGTATCCCAACACCAATGCAGTAAATTGCATTCATAACTTAAAATCTGAAAAAGAAATCTTCGAACACATATTTAATGGAAAGTTAAACCAAATATGTAAAGAATCTTTTTGCAAGATTTATGTGATCACTAGGAAATAAAAAGGAAATGTTATCCAACTCATTCTATAAAACCAGTATTACCATTTTTACAAGGACAGGAAAAAAGAACAGCTACAGGGCCTCCCCGGTGGCGCAGCGGTTGAGCGCTGGGTTGTGAAGCTGCCCGCGGCCTCTGCAGCGCCGGTTCGATCCCCGGCTGCTCCCCGGCCACGGGAGGAGGGTCCCGCATGGCACGCAGACCTCTCCTGCCGCCCGCTGCTCCCCTCAGCAGTGTACTTCGGTTCTTCTGCCTGCTCTGCTCCCCGCTCTGGCTCTGGTGAATTCACTCACCCTCTCGTGCTTCTGACTGTACCCAGTGCATGTATAAACAAAACAAACAAACAAATAAATAAGTAAAACATGCCTCTATTAAAAAAAAAAAAAAAAAAAAGAACAGCTACAGACTAATGTCACTTTAACATACAGATGTGAAAATCCTGAACAATGAGACAATATAAAAGTTACTATGGATTAATCAACTGTTTTATCATGAAAGAGCATATGCAATACAAGGTAAGTAAGACTGTGTCTTCACTAAGTGTTAATATAATTGGAATCACACATGTACGAAATGAACGCAGAATATACCCTCATGAAAATGAACACAAAATAGATACTGGATACCTAAATCTGAAACTGAGATTTCCTAAGTCGTAATATAGGAGAGAACCTATGTAATCTTGTTTTGGCAATTGCTTTTTCTTCTTTCTTTTTCTTTTTTTTTTTTTTTTGCAATTGCTTTTATAATATAAAACGAAAGACATTATCCATGACAGATCATTAAAAAGCTTATCCCATTACAGTTCAGAAATTATCGTCAAAGGAATGCGAGGGCAGTGGGAAGACAAGGTGCAGACTGGAAGGAAATGTTTGCAAAATAAACATTTGAAATATCCAAAATTCCTAAAATCTCTAAAACTCAATATCTGGTTTAAAAGTAAGCCAGATAATTTACATGTCACCAGACTATATGTAGAGGTTGGAAATATGAATATGAAAGATGCTCCAAATGTTTCATGAAGGAATTGCAAATTAAAAGGAGATACTACTGTATACATCAGAATAAAAATCCACAACACTTAAAAAATTAAATTCTTTTGAGAATCTGGAAGAACTAATTCTTACCCATTGCTGGTGGAACATGAACAGTATAACCAATCTGAGGTATATTTTAATAGATTTAAAACTCGACATACTATTATCTGATATAAGCCAATAATCCAGCAGAATAGCTACAGTGTGAAGATGCTGGACTCACCTACTTCATATATGTACAAATTACAGTAGAACAAATAATCCCAGGAAAATGAACTATAATATGTAACATGAGGTTCCGTGGAAGCAGTAAACATACCTTTCATTGAACTGCTTGCAGTGATACTGAGACAATATAACCCACAAGTGGTAGATGTGGATGCCATACAGAGCCATGTGCCTACATTGGGGTCTTTGGGGACCTGTTGCTGTGCATGAGAAGAACAGAGTTGGTGTTCAAGGAAGAGGGTGTGTTCTTGGGGAACCAAATGAGCAGTGTTGTAGAGTGATAATTGGCTTGACCTTAGGCTCGAAATATACAACAGCTATAGGTCAAACTGTCTTGAAGTACCAGGTTTGACTACCTATGTCTTCTTGAAGAGGTTATTACTCACATCTTCAGTCTGTGATATTTAAAAACTGCCTCCCGGGCCTCCCCGGTGGTGTGGCGGTTGAGCGCTGGGTTGCGAAGGTGCCCGCAGCCTCTGCAGCACCGGTTCGATCCCCGGCCACTGGGTGAGGATCCCACATGGCGCGCAGACCTCTCCTGCCGCCCGCTGCTCCCCTCAGCAGTGTACTTCGGTCCTTCTGCCTGCTCTGCTCCCCGCTCTGGCTCTGGTGAATTCTCTCACCCTCCCGTGCTTCTGACTGTACCCAGTGCTTGTATAAACAAATAAATCTTAAAAAAAAAAGATTTAGGGCCTCCCCGGTGGCGCAGCGGTTGAGCGCTGGGTTGCGAAGCTGCGCGCGGCCTCTGCGGCGCCGGTTCGATCCCCGGCTGCTCCCCGGCCACCGGAGGAGGGTCCCACATGGCGCGCAGACCTCTCCTGCCGCCCGCTGCTCCCCTCAGCAGTGTACCTCGGTCCTTCTGCCTGCTCTGCTCCCCGCTCTGGCTCTGGTGAATTCTCTCGCCCTCCCGCGCTTCTGACTGTACCCAGTGCATGTATAAACAAAACAAACAAAGAAACCAGCAAACAAATAAATAAAGCATGCCTCTATTAAAAAAAAAAAAAAAAAAAAAAAAAAAAAAGATTTACCATGACTTGGTAAAGTAAAATAAATAAATAAATAAATAAATAAATAAGTAAATAAATAAATAAATAAAATAAAAACTGCCTCCCTCCCGATGCAGGGCCAAAACTGACAAAATGCTTTTAGTAACCACAGTTTAAGCACCTAGATCTTAACAACAGGAACAAGCACGCTAGGATAATACTTTGCATTGTAAAAGCTAAGAAGAATGCCCAGTTTTTGTCCTTGTGATATATTTCCAACGATCCATCTAGTGCTCACACATAAACTAAAGGCTGAGCCTAGCATGAATTTATGTGAGATACACATGCTCAGGATTTAGCAACAGGAGGAGACCACTGTTCTGCACCACACAACTGTGGTTTGAGAGCATGGTATGAATTTGAATTCCTGATACTGTAAGCGACCTTCTGTTGCCCTACTGCCGCACTCCCTCTCTACCTATTACCCCCTTGTTGCTAACAGTTCTTTGGCTACCTGAGCAGGTACAACAGCAGTGATCTGAAAGTTTACTGCAAAATATAAGAACTAATAATGAAATGACAGAACATATCAGTAATGCTGGAGCAACGATACCTGGAGATAAGTCTCAATCCAATGAAACTGCAGAAGATACCTGCAGAGGAGTTCAAGAAAGTAGTTATAAGTCTTTTTTTTAACCAAAACAATGAATGGAATAAGAAAGGAACAGAATAAGTAGAAAATGAGAGACTTAAAATTAGAACTAGTGGATATAACAATATGCATCTAAAACAATATGAATCTAAAAATGCATTGCAGGGTCTGAACAGCAGATAAACACAAGCAATAGATTTTGTGGGCTTGAAAGCAAATGTCAGAACACAAATACATCAACAACAAAATAAAAATTAAAACATTCTTAAAGTGTTAACATTCTTTGTGTTAAGATAATACAAAGTGACAAAACACCTATATTGTAGAGATGCCAGAAGAGGAGGAAGTCACAGGCATAGAAAGTTTATTTAAATAAATGTTGAGCACTATCTCAACCTGGGAAATCGGATATCCTGATCCAAGAGGCAAAGAGTTCAAAAATAACACCAGACAAGACATACACCAAGATATTTTATAATAAAACTGAAAACAAATGACAAGTGCTGAATTTAAAAACATAAAAAAGGATAACCTATAAATGAACAATTACTAGATTGTCCAGTGTTTCACTGGAAACACTACAATCAAGAAGGGAATAGCAGGGCCTCCCCGGTGGCGCAGCGCTTGAGCGCTGGGTTGCGAAGCTGCCCGCGGCCTCTACGGCGCCGTTTCGATCCCCGGCTGCTCCCAGGCCACTGGAGGAGGGTCCCACATGGCGCGCAGACCTCTCCTGCAGCCCGCTGCTCCCCTCAGCAGTGTACTTCGGTCCTTCTGCCTGCTCTGCTCCCCGCTCTGGCTCTGGTGAATTCTCTCACCCTCCCGCGCTTCTGACTGTACCCAGTGCTTGTATAAACAAAACAAACAAACAAACAAACAAACAAATAACATGCCTCTATTAAAAAAAAAAAAAAAGGGAATGGCAGGTGATTTTTTTTTTTTTTAAAGTTTATTTATTTATTTTTGGGAGGCATGTTGGTTTTTTTTTAATTTATTTGTTTGTTTGTTTATACAAGCACTGGGTACAGTCAGAAGCGCGGGAGGGTGAGAGAATTCACCAGAGCCAGAGCGGGGAGCAGAGCAGGCAGAAGGACCGAAGTACACTGCTGAGGGGAGCAGCGGGCGGCAGGAGAGGTCTGCGCGCCACGTGGGACCCTCCTCCGGTGGCCAGGGAGCAGCCAGGGATCAAACCAGCGCCGTTAGAGGCTGCGGGCAGCTTCGCAACCCAGCGCTCAACCGCTGCGCCACCGGGGAGGCCCACAGGTGATTTTTTAATATACTCAACAGAAAAGATTTCCAGTCTAGAATCTTTTCACTTGTAAGATCAACATTTAAGAAATAAGAAATGGTAAGTAGATCCTCTGAAAAGTAAAAGAATTTCATCAATACCTAACCACAAATAAAAGAATGCTAAAGGATTATTGTACTGTAACAGAACAACAAATAGTGATGTAACTGTCACCAAAGTTAAACAGGATGGATATGGAGAGGAACAATATGGCCAATCAGAGTCAATTTTGGATTAGAATTCTAACAGTCTGCATAAGAAGCCTTCACACACTAACCTCAAAAGAAACTTCAAATAAAAATAAGTGGAACATTCAAGACAATGGGAATGGAACCTAAACAAATATAAACCAAATAAAACATTAAAATACAAACAAAATACAAAAATGGCAGTGGGCAATTATGTCTGAATAATCACCTTAAGTGGCCTGAATTCACCAGCAAAAATGCATAGAGTTACTGAATGTGCTATTTAACAATGTCCAACCTTAATGCTATTCTCACAAAATCTGTCATACTAACAAAGAGAAGCAAGAGACTTCAGGTTTAACGGCAGGAAGTCAATCCTATATGCAAATGGTTATCGAAATAAGGGACAGCCATGTATATATCAGATTATACAGATAACCAGTTTAAAGCCCAGTAAGAGATAGAGAAAATCCATTATTATTAAGGACATATACAATACAACTAAAGAAAAAAATAGCAATGCAATAATACCAGGGATTTCTGATACTCTACTTAAAAGAATAGATATATCAGGGATAGAAAATAAATAGGGAAATAGCTCCTTTAAATGAGATAGACCACAGACTTAATATTTACAGAATACTACTCTAAAACTGTTAAAATACACATTTTTATTTTACAAGTCCACTTGGAACATACTTACGGAGAGACTGTATGTTGGGACAGAAGTCAATGTTGAAAACTAAAGATTTAAATCATTCCATGTTCTCTTTCTGGCAGCAATCCCATAAAACTACAAATCACATGTAATAGAACCTGGAAATATTAAAAATACAAAGAAATAAAGCAATATCCTTCACAATAGCTATTGAATCAAAGAGGAAATTAAAGTAGAATTCAAAATACAGTTTGAGACCAATGAAAATGAGGTTACAAGCATTCAGAATTCATGGCATGCAGGAAAAGAATTCTTACAAAGGAAGATAATTGTAATGCAGGCCTACATTAACATGACAAATCCCAAAGAAGTAATTTAATACTACACCTAAAGCAGTTTGACAAGGAGGAACAAACATGATCCAAAGCTAATATATGGGAGGAAATTTTAAAAAGGCGAATTAGTGGGCCTCCCCGATGGCGCAGCGGTAGAGCGCTGGGTTGCGAAGCTGCCCGCGGCCTCTGCGGTGCCGGTTCAATCCCCGGCTGCTCCGTGGCCACCGGAGGAGGGTCCCACATGGCGCGCAGACCTCTCCTGCCGCCCGCTGCTCCCCTCAGCAGTGTACTTTGGTCCTTCTGCCTGCTCTGCCTCTCGCTCTGGCTCTGGTGAATTCTCTCACCCTCCCGTGCTTCTGACTGTACCCAGTGCATGTATAAACAAAACAAACAAGCAAACAAATAAAGAAAAACATGCCTCTATTAAAAAAAAAAAAAATCTTTAAAAAAGGCGAATTAGTGAAATGGAGATCAAAAGGACTTCAAAAGAGCAATGAAAGTAACAGGTGATTTTCAGGAAAGTAAACCAATATATCTCTAGCCAGAGTGCAAAAGAAAGATCTCTTTAATAAACCCAATCAGAAATGAAAAAGGAGAAATTACCACTTATGGCATCAAAATACAGAGAATCATAAAAGACTACTATGAACAAATACATGCCAATAAATTTGGTATTATTTCTTGATGAGTATAGTATTCTAAGCCTAATCCAGGAATTAACACAAGCATTGTTTCAACCCATCACAGGCACGGAAATTGAACAGTATAATTTACCCCAAAAGAAATGTCCATGGCCAAAGGGCTCTCTAGTGAATTACATCAATGCTTTAAAGAACTTGTTCCTATCTTTCTCAAGTTGTTTCTAAATATATAAGAACAAGTAACTTTCCCAAATACATTTTATGATAATATTTAGTACTAAATCTCAAAGACACACAAAATGAAAAATTACAGACCAGTGCCCCTAATGAATACTGTTACAAGTACTTGTAACAAAATATACACAAGTCAAATTCAACAATCCATCATACAGATTATACACCATGATCTAGGATTTATTGCTGGAATGCAAGGATTTTTTTATATACACATTTCAAGCAGTTTAATACATTATGTCAACAATTGTGCATGGAAACAATTTGATGAGATTCAGCATCCACTTATGATACAAAGTCAAAACAATATTGAAATGGAAGGAATCTAACCTAATATAATAAAAGCTATATTTCACAAGCCAACAGCCCATTTAAAATTTGAGAGTGAAACTCATTTAAATCTCCATAACAATGAGGATGCCCCTTTTCACAACTACTATTGAATTTTTTATATAGGAGATAGTTTGAATCCAAAGTTGAAAACAAGTAAATCTATTACTATTCACACTATCATTTACAGAAAACCCTTAAAACTATCATGTTATTTGAAACCGTAGATGAATTCAACAACATGGCATGTTTCAATATCAAGACAGAAAAATCTAGCATTTTAATTCACAAACAACAGATGTGAGTAAGAAGTTAAAGTACTTCTATTCACAATCAAATAATAGTTAAATACCTTGGAATTAACCAAGTAGGTTAAGGGCCTATTTCAAGATAGCTGCAAGATGTTACAAAAGTAGTTACTGAAGTGATGGAAAGACATCCTATGCCCATGGACTGGGTGAAATCAATGTAATCAAAATGACTGTGCTACCCAAAGTGATACATACAAATTCCCAACAAAACACCAACATTATTCTTTGACATTGAACAAAGAAGAATGAAATCATGAAAGTCCTACTATGACTAATGCAATTCTTGGACAAGAGAAATGAAGGCATCACTTTTCCTGACTTTGTACTATATTGTAAAACAAGTGTAAAAATAATACGTTGGCCTAAAAGTATACTCATGGGTCAATAGAAAAGAATCAAAAGCCCTGGGGGCCTCCTTGGTACAGAGGGGTTAAAGACTCAGCACTATCAAACTATTGCCAGCCACTGTGGCATGAGTTCAATCCCTGGCCAGGGAGTTGACCTACACAGTGCAAGCAGACCTCTCCTGTCTCACTGGCTGCTCCCCTCAGCAGTGTATTTTAGTAGATCTGCCTGTTCTGCTCCCTGTTTTGTCTCTTGTGGATCCTCTCACCTCCTGCACCTCTGGCCTACACCTCAGCACTTGTATGCAAAAATAAATAAATCTTAAAAAAATTTAAATTTGAGGCTTGCAACAATAAAATGTAAAGAAAATACTAGCTATATAGTGCATGATGTCAGTGATAAAAATTTCTTTGGAAAATTGACATGGTGAGTTAAATAAAGCGAAATCAAGCAATTGGAATTAGTTCAGATTAAATAGCTTTTACACAGTGAAAGTAAATATTAGGTTTAAAAGATCTTTCTGAAAGGGAGAAAGCATATATTAGTTTGTATTACATAATTGAGAGGTTAATATTCAAGGTATTTTTAAAAATACAATATTTAACAGTAGAAAACAACCCTTTTAATAAAGTATTAGCAGATTTGAATAGATAACTCACCAAGGAGGATATCCAGAAGTCTAATAGATACATGTAAAATTATTTATCATTAGTCCTGTAAAGATAGATTTATGTGAAAACCATAATGAGATAGTTATTCATACCAATGAGAATAGTATACAGTGAAAAGACTGCTAAGTATATCTGCTGGAGATGATGCAGGAAAAGGAATCCTATTACAATGTTGGTGGGAATGTAAAGTGGTTTCACCATTTGGGACACAAATCTGGATTTATACTATGAAACAAAATATTAATACCATATGACACTGGAGTTCTACTATTGGCCATCTATTCGTAAGTGAAACCAATCTAAATAACTATGCTCTACTATGTTTATTGCATTATTTATGTTAGCTAAGACATGGAAACAACCTAAGTGTCCACTGAGTGATTTGGATCAAGAAGATGGCATAGCCACGTTTTGGAATACTGGTCTGCCATAAGGAAAGATGAAGTGTTGCCTATTACAGTAAAAATGGAAGGAGTTAAAGTGAATTATGTAGTAACACAAGTCAGAATGACAGATATTTGTGAAGCAGAAAATTTGATGATGTAAAATGCAAACACTAGCGGACATTCATGAAGTTTCTCAGGTCACGGAGGGAGAGGGATTATAAGGGGTTATGGTGGGAGGACAATATCCTCACTTCAGGACTGGTTATCTTGCAAACTCATGAAATAGAAAACATATGTCTTTACCAAGTACAAAGAGTCAGACAAAGGATTGGCTACAAAGGGTCAATGGAGACAAATTTGGGATGATGAAACTCTTCTATATCTTGATTGTGGTGGTAGCTATTACATCATTATGCATCTGTCCAAACTCATGGAACTGTGCACCCAAAATGGTACATTTTATTATTGCATGTCAATTGTACCTCTGTGCGGTTCTCTTCAGAAAAATAATATGATCCAATAGTTGTGTTTCTTGATACTTATCCATAGGAATTGAAATTTTATATACACATGTATAATTGTATCAGTTTTATTCATCAAAATAAGGGACCAGGAAAAAGACTAATTATAATAAGGTAAAAATCAAAATCAACAAGCAACTATAAACCAGAGTACACACTACATGGGGGGAGGAGGGAGTAGGATCAAAACAAGGCGTGGGGGGGGGGGAGTGGAAATTGTATGGAGACCATAAGCCAAGATGAAAATACATACATTGTGCAAAAATGAAAAATGATGTAAAAAAATATATAAAATTAAAAAAAATAATAGTTAAAAAACTCATTTCTGGATGCAAGTTGAAATACAATTTAAATAGAATGGCTTAAAAATATTAAAATATTTATATAGTGAGTATTCCGCTCACTCGATTTTAAGGTATTAACCTGATACCATTATTAAGTCTGCATGGTTTTGATGGAACAAGAGAGTAATTAATCAAACTCAGAAAATGACCCACAGAGATTCATTCAATCTCACTTTAATAAGTTGCTATAATGGATTGGAAGTGCATCTTTAACAATAGGTTCTGTGTCTATTAAATATGCCTACATTTCAAAATAAACCTCATCCTAAGGGGAACATTACCTGCCTTAAGTTAATTTCCGAAAGAATCACAGGCAAATACAAAATGCGAAACTATAAAATGTTTGGTCCAAAAAAAAAAAAAATTTAGTGGCAAATATAGGTGAAAATGTGTTGCATGTAGGCTTTAGCAAAGTGTTATGACAAGTAAAGCAGAACTAATAAAAGAAAATGAACTAATAAATTGTCATTAAGCTTTATTGTTTTGCTCTGCCTAACTCCTTATGGAGAAAATGGAAATTCACCCTGTGTTCTCAAAACATTCACAAATCACATGCCATTGGACTGATTCCTAGAATATGTGAGAACTGTCAAACTCAACAAAAATTGCAAACTATATAATTAAAAATTGGACAAGAGGCATGTATGAATATTTGGCTGATGAGGCTACAGAAATGTCACTGAGGATGTGTAAATATGTTGAAAGTTACTAATTCAGAAATGCAAATTGCACCATAAGATAGCATTATACACTTTTTAATTGCTAAAATTTATAATTGACCATACAAAATTCAGAAGTGCAGAAACTGAAATTCTCATACATTCCTGTTTAGTTCTTTAATTTCTGTGGACAATCTTGAAAACTTAATAGTATTTTTTAAACTTAACACAATAAACTCAGTAATGACAGCCATATCTTAGAAAAAATGAAAACATTTGCACAAAAACTTGTATTTGAATATTATATTCGCCAACAGTATTATTTGGACTAACCACTGAAAGCAACCCATATGGCCTTCACAATTGAATGGTTCATACAGGGGCACGTCCACAGTATGGAATAGTACTGAGCAGTAAAAAGGAATCAACTGGAGATAGCCATTAATTTAAATCGCTCTCAAAGGTATTAGTTTTAACATTTTGCTTTTACTTCCAGAAAGCTTCTCTTTGAACTGTGCTATGATCGGCAGCAATGGCAAATCACATCTTTTTAAAATAAATATATATATATATATATTTAAGATTTATTTATTTATAGAAGAACTGGGGTACAGGCCAGAGGCACAGGAGGGTGGAGAATTCACCAGAGCCAGAGCAGGGAGCAGATCAGGCAGAGTGACGAAGTACACTGCTGAGGGGAGCAGCGGGCGGCAGGAGAGGTCTGCGCGCCATGTGGGACCCTCCTCCGGTGGCCGGGGAGCAGCCAGGGATCGAACTGGCGCCGCAGAGGCCGCGGGCAGCTTCGCAACCCAGCGCTCAACCGCTGCGCCACCGGGGAGGCCCCCAGGCTGTAATTTTTTAAGCTCATCTTTTGCATATTGCATTTCTGTACCAGTCTTCTCAAGAGTCCAGTGATTTTGGAAAAAAGTGTTTACTATTTTACTGAAATTTAAGTTTGAGCTTACCGAAATCTAGTTTTAAATGTACGGCCCTCGGGCCTCCCTGGTGGCGCAGGGGGTTGAGCGCAGCCCTGTGAAGCTGTCCGCGGCCTTTGCGGTGCGAGTTCCATCTGCGGCCGGGAGCAACCCACATGGCGCTGCAGACCTCTCGCCTGCTGCTCCCCTCAGCAGTGTGTTTCTGTACATCTGCCTGTTCTGTTCCCCACTCTCTCTGGTGAATCGTCTCACCCTCCGCGACTCTGGCTTGTACCCCATTTCTAAAAAAATAAATAAATGCTGCCATCAACTACCTATTTTGGTTGGAATTTTTAACAGTGCTCCCACGCAGTGACTAGGCGGCTTTGAAAGAACACCAGAAGGTGGATCGCTGAACTTTGCCCCTGCCTAATTTTCCTTTAGGCTCACTTCAGTTACAAATGCAGATTTTTTCAAATGCACTTTTTTAACATTCTCAGTTAAAACAGAATCAGTTGAAACAGAATCTGGCCAAAAGTTATTTTTGTTTCTTTTTGTAGAGGTTATCTTAGTTAATGGTTAAGTTATATTTGTTTTTCCGTTTACCTTTGGATGTTCAGACAAGTGTACACCACGAACAAGCTGGCCGTGGAGAGTGACAGTTTTCTGTTCACTGATTTTCAAACCGCTCTAGCGAGCGCAGGCGCCCCAGGAGCACGGGCCGGCTCGCTCGCTTGGCGCTGTGGCCGCCGATCCTGGGGCCCAGACTGGCTGCGCTCGGCTCCAGGGCTTGGCGTGTCCCCATCCCGGCCGGTGCTGCAGGTACTGGCCGCGGCGGCTCGGCGGCTCGGCGGCTCGGCAGCTCGGCAGCTGCCCCGGGGGCCGGCCCGCTCCTCTCGCCGCTGCTTGGCGCGCCCGAGGGGTGACCTCAACGCGGGCGAAGTTGCGGTGGAGGGGCTGGCACGCGCGTTTTGCGGGCTTAAGTAGGGACCGGCTCCCTCAAGGAAGTGACTCAGCAAGAATGCGGAGGGCGTGCCCGGGGGCGGGCGCTAATGGCGGCGGCGGGGCCGCGGGCGCTCTTGGGGGGTCCCGACGTAGCCGCGGGCGGAGAAGCGCTGCAGGACGGAGCTTAATCTTGCATTAAACATTTGCATTGAAACAGTAAGTGCGGAAATGGTTTCCTAACTTTGGCTCAGCAGGAACAGATGGAGAAAGCTAAGCCAGAGAGCCTGGCGCGTCGACGGCTGCTAGGAGAGCCCGGGAGTTGCGTAGACCCGGCTGGGGGCTGGGGGTTGGGGCGGTGGTGGCGCAGCGGGTTTTCACCTTGAACTATTTTCTTTCTATTCCTCAGACTGGAAATTACAGTTGAAATTAAACTGTTCTATTACATGTTGCTGAGCCTACTGCCTATCAAAGCTGTTGTTGATACCCTTTAGTTATTTTTTTTTCCTTTCGGTTATTAGGCTTCCCATCCGTAGAATTCACATTTTCTTCTCTTTCATAATTATATAAATAAGCTTTGCGCAGTGGCAGTATCGTAGCCAATGAGGTTTATCCGAGGCGCGATTATTGCTAATTGAAAACTTTTCCCATAATTATATAAATATACATTGTTTTAGTTATATAAATTTAAAATCTGTTGGTTGATAATCTCATTTTATTTAGACATTATTTTCCTGGTTTCCTTACTTGGTGGTTTCTTTTAACTATTTTAGCACATTTAAAATTTTTGATTTGGCTTTTGTTAAGTATCTGTGCTCTTTCAGGGACACTATTAACATAGTTTTCCTCTGAATGGACCAGCCATACTTTTCCTGCTGCTTTGTTACAAAGGAGACATTTGAATATCTAGTGAAAAATCTGTAAATCAGTGCTTTCCTTGATCATTGGGAATTTTGCAATTCTTGATTGTGGGGAGTCCTTAGTCATCTAATTATTTTGTGACTTTCCCAAGTTATTTTTCCAAAGGCTAACTTTCTTGTCACAGGTGGTTACTCTTTCTTTACCCTGTTGTTCAGTTAATTTTCACAGACATTTCCTTGAATACTAATAGTATAAGAAAAATAATACATCTCTCTCAAGTTTCTAAATAAAAATTGAATCTTCATCATTTCATTTAACTTTAAAAATATTGTTTATTGTGTGTAAGTAACCAAATGAGATTTGGGAAACTAATTAAATATACGAACACCATACATATTTATTATTAAAAACATCACCTAAATTCATTGAATGTCTAGATCATATCCAAGTAAAATGAAATATTGCCAGAGTAATGGTTAATTGAGTCTGTTTACCTACTTTTGAACTCTCATTAGGAAGATCAAATATATTTTCATCTCTTAGTAAACATCTTGTGACACATTAAAAATATACTAATATTAGAATGCCTGTTTCTAGAAATTATAAAATGTATTCATAAATTATGCTGATGTAACAATGTACAATCACTTTGTGGCTCTCACTAAAAATTAAGGTTTTTAATAAAAATTAATGGTAATTTTTATAGTTACCTATGTAGTTACTTTTACCCATGTTTTTAATTTTTTCATATATGTTTTTTCAAATAACTTATATTTAATGGAACAAAACATAGTGGCCAAAAAAGGAAACTTTCTAATAGTTGTATTAAGTATTATATTTCTCCATATACTTTTGACTTTTTGTCTATTGTCCTTCCATCTTAGTCTAAACAACTCCCTTTGGTAATTCTTATAGGGCAGTTTTTTTAGAAATGAAATCAGCTTTTGAAAAATCTGTGAATTTCTTAATTTTTCCTTTCTTTTCTCTTGGCATCTTGATGGAAATATAACGCATATACTACATAATTCACCCATTTCAAATTAAAGTATTTCAAGGTTAAGATATCTAACATATATAATTATATATTAGAACTACTAAAATAATGGAAATATTCTTTATATGAAGAAAGTAAGATGTAGCTTTCAATAGGATAACATGCAAATGGAGGCTTATTTTTGTTGAGGGAAAAGAAAGTTATTTTGTCCTAAAGTGAGCCTAATTATTTAAAGACATAAGATGTATTCTCAATGTAAAAATGAAGTTACAAAACATTGATGGGAAAGTAATCTTTTTAAAAAATTTTTTATACCATTGTTCATTTTTAAACGGGAAAGTAATCTTTAATCTTTTTCTTATGATTGATTTATTTATGCATACAGGAGCTGGGGTGCAGGCCAGAGATGTGGGGGGATGGGGGTGGGTGACAGGATCCACCAGAGACAGTGGGGAACAGAACAGGCAGATTGACTGAAATACACTGCTGAGGTGAGCAGCGGGCGAGACAGGAGAGGTCTGTCGTGTCACGTGGGTCTCTCCCTGGCCGGCCGGGGATCGAACTCGTGCTGCAGATGCTTCGATTGCTTCATAGTGCCGTGCTTAACCCCTTGCGCCACCAGGGAGGAGTAATCTCTAAAAAGTGACTTTACAAGGCCTCCCAGGTGGCACCAGGGATTAAGTATCAGCACTATGCAGCTATCCGCAGCCACCACAGCACGAGTTTGATCGTGGGGCGAGGGAGGTGACCCACCAGGCGCAGCAGACCTCTCCTGTCTTGCCCACTGCTGCACTCAGCAGTGTATTTGGTCAGTCCTCCTGTTCTGCTTCCCACTCTCTCTGGTGAAACCTCTTACCCCCTGCATCTCTGGCCTACGCCCCAGCTCTTATATGCATAAATAAATAAAATAAATCTTTTTTTAAAATTTTTTTTAATAGAGGCATGTTATTTATTTGTTTGTTTGGTTGGTTGGTTTTGTTTATACATGCACTGGGTACAGTCAGAAGCGCGGGAGGGTGAGAGAATTCACCAGAGCCAGAATAGGGAGCAGAGCAGGCAGAAGGACCGAAGTACACTGCTGAGGGGAGCAGCGGGCGGCAGGAGAGGTCTGCGTGCCATGTGGGACCCTCCTCCAGTGTCCGGGGAGCAGCCGGGGATCGAACCCGGGCCGCAGAGGCCGCGGGCAGCTTCGCAACCCAGCGCTCAACCGCTGCGCCATCGGGGAGGCCCTAAAATAAATCTTTTTTAAAAACAGTGATTTTACATACAGTCAAGCTGGCTATAAAAAACAAATTTTAATATTAAACATATGCTGGTGCAACATAAAAATGTGATTTTCTTCTGGTAAAAGATCAAACTTTCCTTGGATTATTGGTCTGCTCTTAATAAGTGATCATAAACTTTTTTTTCTTTTCAGTAATCTTCCAAAAATGCAAATCTTTATTTAAATGAACTTTTCTGTATGATGTAAAGTAGTGCTCAATTTTTCTTCTTTTGCACGTGGCTGTTGAATTTTCCCACTATTATTTATTGAAAAGAATTTTTTTTCGTTGCACTTGCTTTTTTGTTATCTACAAATTAGTTGGCCATATTTTGCCATATATGTGAGGTTTATTTCTTCTCTAAACTCTGTTGCATTAATCTGTGTCTGTTTTTAATCCAGTACATCAGGGAGTTTGATCCTTCCAGCTTTATCTTTTTTTCTCAGTATGTCCTTGGCTAGTCACAATCTTTTGTGGTTCCAACATATTTCACGATTTCTTTAAAATTTATTTTATGTGAAGAATGCTTTGGGATTCTAAATAGGTATTTCATTTAATCTGTTTATTGCTTTAGGAATAATGGCCACCGTAACAATGTTAATTCTTCCAATACATGAACACAGAATATCTTTGTATTTGTTCCTATATTCTTCATAGTCCAACAATAGGGACTTTAGGGTTCAGCATACAGGTTTTCACCTCCTTGGTTATTATTACTACTTATTACATTCTTTTTGGTGTTAATCTAAATCCTGTTTCTTTTAAATTTTTGTTTATTGAAGTAATATTGGCTTACAAATTATACGTTTTAGTAGTATAGGTTTACATCTTTGCACATGTATTTTAGCACACCATGCCTGCTACCACAGCCCCAGTCATCCACTCTGGTCCACTAAGTCCCTCCCCTTCTGGTTGCTTCAGTTCTTCAGTCAGACTTCAAGGTTTTTCTTTGGTTTGTTTCTTTATATTACATGTATGAATGAAGTCATCCAGTACTTGTCTTTCTCTTTCAGACTCTTTTTGCTTCCATTTCCTTCCACGTTGTCAAAAATGGCAAATTTTTTGGGCCTCCCTGGTGGTGAAGGTGTGAAAATCTCAGCGCTATCAAGCTATCGCCAGTCACTGCAGCACGAGTTTGATCCCCGGCCAGGTAGCCAACCCCCATGGCAGACCAGACCTCTCCTGTCTTGCTCCCTGCTCTCCTCAGCAGTGTATTTCAGCAGAACTGTCTGTTCTGCTCCCACTCTGTCTCTGGTGAATCCTCTTACCCTATCCCCCACACCTCTGGCCTACATCCCAGTTCTTGCATGCATAAATAAAAATCTTTTAAAAAATGGCAAAATTTCATCTTATAGGTGAGTAGTATTGGAAGGAATGTAGACTATTCCTACCTATGCAAAACAATATGGAGGGTTTTCTTTTTTTTTTTTTTTTAAAAAGTAGCCTTAGTTTTTTTTTTTTTTATAGAGGCATGCTTTATTTATTTATTTGTTTGTTTGTTTTGTTTATACATGCACTGGGTACAGTCAGAAGCGCGGGAGGGTGAGAGAATTCACCAGAGCCAGAGCGGGGAGCAGAGCAGGCAGAAGGACCGAAGTACACTGCTGAGGGGAGCAGCGGGCGGCAGGAGAGGTCTGCGCGCCATGTGGGACCCTCCTCCAGTGGCCGGGGAGCAGCCGGGGATCGAACCGGCGCCACAGAGGCTGCGGGCAGCTTCGCAACCCAGTGCTCAACCGCTGCGCCACCGGGGAGGCCCCAATATGGAGGGTTTTCAAACTATTAAAGATAGACCTATCACATGATCCACCAATTCCACACTAGGTATCTACCCAAAGAATGAATAAACACTAATATGAAGGGACATATGCACCCCTCTGTTCGTGGCAGCACTGTTTACAACTGCAAATGTATGGAAACAATCTAAGTCCACAATGACAGATGGAGGGGTAAAAATATGTGGTATACATACAAAATGAAATAATATTCAGCTATAAAAAAAACACGAAATCTCACCCTTCATGACAACATGGTTAGAACTGAAATAGATTCTGCTACATGTAATAATTTGTCAAAGGTGGGATACAAACACCTCATGATTTCACTCATGTGGTATATAAACAAGCAAAACCACAGATCAGATCAAAGTTAACCAAAGAAAATACTAGAAATTTGACTACAGAATTGAGGCTACTAGAGGGGAGGGTATATCTCTAAATCTTAGACATTGATGTAAACATTACCTAAATCCGAAATGATAAAATTTAAAAAATTAGAGTTAGTTAAATTCCTTCAAATGAGGGTCAGGCCCCTTTCAGAAGAGTATGGCTGTGCTGGGGCCCAGGGCAGGTGAATCTGAGTGCAGGCCCTTTAAAGGCAGATTTCCTACAGTTCTTTGATTCTCTTGCACTTCATTCCCTCAGGGCGCCAAGGTCATCTCTTTTCTTTGCAGCATTTAAGGGCCAAGAAGCCTGGTATAGGATACAAAGTTCATCCCAGTCCCCTTCCCTCCCCTCAAAAAAGTTCCTGATCAATTTTCTTTCCACTGCTCATCACCACACTCAGGGTGGGGTTTCTTTGGGAGAGAGCAAGCACAGCTCTGTCTCTTCTACCCATCTTAGTGCTACCCTTTGATTCTTTGTTGTATAAGCTCTGTTTGCCCTGTTCAGGCCTTTTACCAAGTAAATTATTCTGTATGTAGCTATATATTTTTTGTGTCCATGAGAGCAGCTAATTTCAGTTTCTTCTTGCCCTGCCTTCTTGAACCTGAACCCCAAGTATGTATTGTTTACTTTCCACAATTTGTAAATTTACTAGTTTTCTCTCTGTTGTTGATTTTTCGTTTTATTCCATTGTGGTTAGAGAAGAGACTTGTCTAATATTTACTCTATCCTGGAAAACGTTCCATACACACTTCAAAATAGTGTATATTCTGCTGTTGTGGTACAGTCTGCTGTGTGGGGTGGATTGTTCTGTGCATGCCTGCTGTGTCTAGTTGGTTCCCATGCTATTCAAGGATGGTGTTAATGCATTGTTCTGTCAGGTTGTTCTAGCCATTTGTGAAAGTAAGTTTGCAACAATTATTTAACTGTCTGTTTCTCCTTTGATCTGTTAGCTTTTTCTTTACTTATTTTGGCGCTCTTTTGTTATGTATGTATATGCTTAGGGATTTTGTATCCTCTTTAAAGATTTACTCTTATTAATATGTAAGAGTACATATACATCATATATAATATATGATATAATATACATTTTTTTTTACAGTTTTAAAATTTCAGTCATTATTCTCTCATATTCCTATAGCTACTCTGGGTCTTTTGGTGGTTATTTGCATGAAACATTTTTTTTCCTTATTTCACTTCCAACTTATTTATTTTTTTGTATATAAAGTATGTTTCTTATATGCAGCACATAGTATGATCATGCTTTTTTTTTTTTTTTTTTTTTTTTTTTTTTTTTTTTATAGAGGCATGCTTTATTTATTTGTTTGCTGGTTTGTTTGTTTGTTTTGTTTATACATGCACTGGGTACAGTCAGAAGCGCGGGAGGGTGAGAGAATTCACCAGAGCCAGAGCGGGGAGCAGAGCAGGCAGAAGGACCGAAGGACACTGCTGAGGGGAGCAGCGGGCGGCAGGAGAGGTCTGCGCGCCATGTGGGACCCTCCTCCGGTGGCCGGGGAGCAGCCGGGGATCGAACCGGCACCGCACCGCAGAGGCCGCGCGCAGCTTCACAACCCAGCGCTCAACCGCTGCGCCACCGGGGAGGCCCTGATCATGCTTTTTAATGCACTAATGTTCAATCTCTACCTTTTAAATGGGTTAGTTAAAATTTTACATTTAAAATAAGATCTATAAAAGAGTTCATACAATGCAACAAAAAGAGAACAACCCAATAAAAACTAGGCAGAATATGCATTATGGTGTCTTGTTTTAATTTGCATTTCCCTGGTAACACTTATTTTGGAATGTCTTTTCATATACTTTCATGTCTTTATGTTCTTTGGTGAGGTGTCTGTGTCCTCTCTCAAAATAAGTCTTTGGCCTGTTTTTATTTTTTATTATTATTATTTTTTTTTAAATAATAAATTTTATTTTTATATTCCCCATACAATTGCAAACCCCTCATTCTGACCCCAATCCCTCCCCTCCCGCCACCCACCCCCCATAGAGTGTCTCTGGTTCATAGTTTTTTGTTGATTTTGATTTTCACTTTCTTATAGTTATTCATTTTCCTGGTCCCTTATTTAAGTTTTCTAGATTCCTGCTATGAGTGAGACCATCCGGTATTTTCTTTTTCTTTTGGCCTGTTTTTAAATTGGGTTGTTTTCTTTTTGAGTTTTAAGAGTTCTTTATATATTTTAGATAGCACTTCTTTTGCCGTTGTGTCTTTTGTAAATATTTTCTTCTAGAGTGTGGCTTATCTTCTCATTATCTTGATTTAATAGGCTTTTAAAAGTCCAATGTGAAGTTCTTTATTACAACTTCCAAGAAAGTAAATTTAAGAAAACCTAAACTGTAAGTTATAATTATATCTATACCTATACAAATAATCTGGCCAAATAGAAGGAGAGTCTTATTTTGTGAATGAGAATAACCTTTCTTTGACATTTTTTAACTAGAGGGTGACTCAAGAAAAAAACTGTGTTTCAGTGGAAAAGTAGGCATCCTCTATAAACTTCAGATTTATTAGATTCTGACCTTGATAATTGTCTCTGATCAAATTTTACCTTTCAATTGATGTATTTGCGAACTCTCTCTCATGTGATAGTTTTAGTTGACTTCTCTGCATGCAGTAAAGCTACATTTAGTAACTACATGCATGTGGAATGCATTTTGCTACCATTCCAAATGATCTATTTTTTTTTATTTAAAAGTAAATTTAGGGCCTCCCTGGTGGCGCAGCGGTTGAGCGCTGGGTTGCGAAGCTGCCCGCAGCCTCTGCAGCGCCGGTTCGATCCCTGGCTGCTCCCCGGCCACCAGGGGAGGGTCCCACATGGCGCGCAGACCTCTCCTGCCGCCCGCTGCTCCCCTCAGCGGTGTACTTCGGTCCTTCTGCCTGCTCTGCTCCCCGCTCTGGCTCTGGTGAATTCTGTCACCCTCCCGCGCTTCTGACTGTACCCAGTGCATGTATAAACAAAACAAACAAACAAATAAATAAATAAATAAACATGCCTCTATAAAATTAAAAAAAAAAAAGTAAATTTAATTGAGTAAATATATACCATTTTGTTTTTAATTTTATTTTTCTTTTTTCCTAGTGGTTTTTATATTTACTTTTGAAGAAAAACCTTTATTGAAGTATGACTTGCAATAAATATGCTTAGATTTTTCTCCCCAAATGATCTATTCTTTACTCAAAATTTAATTTCTCCAATTTCCTTAAATATCTGGGTAATTTGACCTCTAAATTAATTGTCTAATGTATTTTTGTCTTTGAAATGTCCTAATAAAAAGGCCAAGGAGAATATCAGCCCTCTCTGGATATAGATATTTTTATTTTTTAATTAATTGATTTGTATATATTTTACATCATTGTTCATTTTGTACAGTGCATGTTTTCTCCTCTCAGGTGCAGTTCCCATAAAATTCCCGCCACCAATTCAGCCGTGTTCCATCACCATAGTCCCCTGTGCTCTCCCCACCCGTTTTAAGACATGTCAGTTTTTTTTTTTTTTAATAGAGGCATGTTTTATTTATTTATTTGTTTGTTTGTTCTGTTTATACATGCACTGGGTACAGTCAGAAGCGCGGGAGGGTGAGAGAATTCACCAGAGCCAGAGCGGGAGCAGAGCAGGCAGAAGGACCGAAGTACACTGCTGAGGGGAGCAGCGGGCGGCAGGAGAGGTCTGCGCGCCATGTGGGACCCTCCTCCGGTGGCCGGGGAGCAGCCGGGGATCGAACCGGCGCCGCAGAGGCCGCAGGCAGCTTCGCAACCCAGCGCTCAACCGCTGCGCCACCGGGGAGGCCCTCCCCACCCGTTTTAATCCCTCTTCCTCCCCTGCAGAATGTCCCTGATTTATAGTTGCCGTTTTGTTATTGTTATTTTTTCCTGCTCCCTTATGGGTATAGTTTTTTTTTTTTTTTTTTTTTTTTTTTTGTTTTTGTTTTTCCTCTTCCATTTTATTTTTTTTTTCCTTTTTTTTTTTTTTTAAATATTAAATTTTATTTTTATATTCCCCCATACAATTGCAAAAGCCCCATTCTGACCCCAATCCTTCCCCTCCCGCCCCCCCCCACCCCCCAAAAAGTGTCTCTGGTTCATAGTTTTTGTTGATTTTGATTTTCACTTTCTTATATTCATTTTCCTGGTCCCTTATTTAAGTTTTCTAAATTCCTGCTATGAGTGAGACCATCCGGTATTTTTCTTTTTCTTTTTGGCTTATTTCGCTGAGCATGATCCCTTCCAGTGCCATGTTGCTGCAAATTGCATGTGTTTATCTTTTTTGAATGCTGAGTAATATTCCATGGTGTATATGTACCACATCTTCTTGATCCAGTCATCTATTTTTGGGCATTTGGGTTGTTTCCAAAGCTTAGCTATTGTAAACAGTGCTGCTATAAACATAGGAGTGCAGGTGCTCTTTGGAATTGATGTTTCTGTGTCCTTTGGGTAAATACCTAGGAGTGGAATTGCTGGATCATATGGAAGCTCTATGTTTAGTAGGTCCAGAAATCTCCACACAGCTCTCCATAGTGGTTGGACCAGTTTGCACTCCCACCAACAGTGCACAAGAGTTCCTTTTTCTCCACATCCTCGCCAACATTTGTTGTTGCTAGTTTTTTTAATATGTGCCATTCTCACTGGTGTGAGATGGTATCTCATGGTAGTTTTGATTTGCATTTCCCTGATTACAAGTGATGTTGAACATTTTTTCATATGTCTGTTGGCCATTTGCATTTCCTCTTCAGAGAAGTTTCTTTTTAGCTCTTCTGCCCATTTTTTGACTGGATTATTTTCTTTGTTGTTGCTGAGTCTCATCAGCTCTTTGCAGATTTTTGTGATCATCAGACTGCTGTAGGTGTACCAGGAAAAATGTGAGAAGACTCTAGAAAGTTCAGAAGGCTAAACACAATGACAGTTGGAGTGAGAAATGCAAGGGAGGGGATTAAAAGTCTGATTTGGTTCTGTCCAGAGCCAAGGAAGTCTACGCCTCTGGTCATTTGGTCCTCTTCCAACTTACAGATTTAGGCAGGAATAGCAAGCCAGGAATGTGTCTGGCTTCTGCAAAGAAAAATACAGAATCTGGCTCAGTCAACAGAATTTTCAACAGAGAACAGCCCTTTTGGTGGGCATTTGTGACCAGGCAGGTCGTTCCGCTTCTCCAGTGTTCTCAAGGCACTACAGAAGGGTGTTTTTTTTTTTTTTTTTTTTTTTTTTTTTTTTTTTTTTTTTTGTGGGACCCTCGCCTGTGGCCAGGGAACTAACCAGCGCAGCAGAGGCTGCGGGCAGCCTCGTAGCCCAGCGCTCAACCGCTGTGCCACCAGGGGAGGCCCAGAAGGGTGTTTTTAAAACAGATTCAGAGTCTGTTTTGCTCACTAAACAGGGTGATTGTGCCTGTCTTCAGCTTTCCAAAGCTGAAAATCATGGCCACCAGCCTTGCATGCGCCAGGATGGTGCAATTAAGGGACACCTTTGGCATATCTAGGATCCAGAATAGGCCAGTGGATTTTCCTTATTTCAGGTATCGCAGGGCAGAGCCGCCTCTTTCTCGTATGGGCAAGCAGAACCTTTATTATAAGAGTTGTTTTGTTTTGTTTTTTAAAGATTTTATTTATTTTTGTGTAGGAGAACTGGGGTGTAGGCCAGAGGTGGGGGTGGTGGTGGTGAGAGGATTCACCAGAGACAGAGTGGGGAACAGAACAGGCAGACTGAAATACACTGCTGAGGGGAGCAGCGGGGGAGACAGGAGAGGTCTGCTGAGCCTTGTGGGTCAGCTCCCTGGCTGGAGATCAAACTCAGGCCTGGCCATTGCAGTGATAGTGCTGAGACTTAACCCCTAGGACACAAGGGAGGTCTTATTACAAGGGTTTTAAAAAAGTCTCTTTTACTTTTTCATAGAGTTGACCCACCCAAGAAAATGGACACAACTGATTTCCACAAAAACACCCTCACATCTGTTGGAATGGATCTTATCTAAAAGACAAGAAATAGTAAGTGTTGGTGAGCATATGGAGAAAGTTTACTGTTGGTGAACATGTAAGTTGGAAACTAGTAGGGAGGTTCCTCCAAAAATTAAAAAAAAACTGCCATATGATCCAGCAATTCCACTTGTGGTTATTTATTTAGTAGAAACAGAAACACTAACTTGAAAAGATCTGTACCATCGTATTCATCGTAGCATCATTTACCATAGCTGAGATATAGAAACACTCTCCCTTGACAGTACTCTAGGCCTGCCATACTTTGGGCAGAATCTCCATCCCATCAGCAACTAAGTGAAGTAATGACTTAGACTCTTGGCTGCACTCACCAGGAATTTAGTCTTTTTGTTATAGGACAGGGAAAGGGGCAGCCCAAAACCCCGCAAACCTGCCTATTCTAAATGGGTTCTGCCATCCGCCGCATCAACACAAAACATATGAGACTTTAATGGGAAGGAGCTTTAATTAGGAAACAATACAGGAAAGGCAAAGAATCTAGTTTCTAAATGAAGCACCCAAAGTTACCCATCCCCTCGTGGGTAAAAGTCCATCCAAATGGGATTGGCCCAGAGCAAGGCCCCAAAGCCTGCCACAAGTCTAAAGCATCTTCCAGTGGGGACCCACAGCAAAGGGTCAGAAACAACCAGGCAAGCCCGGAAGGAAAAGAGCAAAATCAACATCAAGATAAAAGCTGCCATGGTCACCTCCCCACGGGTCTCACCCACATCTGTGTCACCCAGTCCACGACCAAAAGACAAGCTCAGTTTCTTCACGTGTCTCTAGGCTCCATGCGCCTCCTCCAGGTCTCCTGGCTCCATCCTGCTTCCTTCCTCAGTCCCTTCTGCAGCTTCTCCTCTTCCTGCTCAGCTCCACCCTCGCTTGGGTGGGGCAGGGAACCTCCCCCTTTCCTGGGGACCACCCTGTTACAATCCCCCCTTTTAATTTTTATTCCACCATATCTATGGTGGCACAGATCTCATGGTGTAATCTTAGAGACAGTCTTTTTTCAGGGTTACAATGTGTGCAAGAGAAGCAACAATTAGTCAGCAGCATTGTCCGTGAATGTCCAGTATGACAGTTTCATTACTTAAAAATAGTCCATTATCCAAGCCAAAAGAAAAAAATTTGGAGCATTGGCTAAAACAAGATAGCAAATATATCAAAATCACAGGGGAAAAATGTTAAAATGGTTCAACTTATGCAAAAACGAATTCTCTCAACCTTGATCCCAAACTTTAACAGCATAGCAAAAGTTTGCAAATTAAATCCACTTTTAAACCATTTTTCCTATTTTTGCATAAAATCACAGGGCAGAAATAACTAACAGCAATTTTTAGCTGGCTTTGTTGAAATACTCCATATAGGATCAGAGCGAACCATTGGCATCCGGTCGATGTAGGCTTCAGGTACAAAGTTGGTCTCATCAGACTCTATCTGGGCTTCCTCTTCTCGAGGGTTCCAGAGACCTCCAAGGAAGGTGAGGAAGCTTGCCTCCATTGGCAGGACTGGACAGCCCAGCCAACGAAAAGTCCCTAGTACCCTCGAGAAGAGGAAAGCCCAGGTGGAGTCTGATGAGACCAACTTGTTCCAGAAGCCTACACGGACCGGATGTCAACAGTTTGCTCTGAATCCTATATGGAGTATTCCAACGAAGCCAGCTAAAAATTGCTGCTTAGTTATTCTGCCCTGTGATTTTATGCAAAAATAGGCAATATGGTTTAAAAGTAGATTTAGTTTGCAAACTTTTGCTATGCTGTTAAAAAATTTGGGATCAAGGTTGAGAGAATTTGTTTTTACATAAGTTGAACCATTTTAAGATTTTTTTTCCTGTGATTTTGACATATCTGCTGTCTTGTTCTGGCTAATGCCTCCAGATGTTTTCTTTCGACTGGGACTGATGAACTGTTTTTCCAGGAATGGAGGACTTTTGCTTTCCACAATGGACACTACCTGGAGGGATTCGTTTTCTTTCACACTGGAACCCTGGAAAATTTTCATCTGAGACTGTATCCCAGCATCCATATGTTTGATCTTCATCACCATGGAAATGGTAGCAAAAAGTGAAAGGGGGGGAATTGTTAGGGGGAAATGATGTCCTGAGATAATCCCATGCAGGCTTTGTGGACCCCACCCCCACTCCAGACTAAAGCCATCAAGACATTGGGAAAGACAAATCCCATCACCACCTAAGGGAGGGTGGCTGGGACCTGAGGGTGGAGTTGGGCAGCCAGGTTGGATATAAAAACCAAACACGTGGGCCTTGGGGTCTCTGGCTCGCGATCGCTGGCCTCCTGGCTTCACGGCTCCTGGCTGGCGGCCAGCTCTCAGAGCGCCATTTTGGGATTCCTGATCTGCGGATCGGGTAGGACTCATTTAAAACTTTGTCTCCCACTTTTCTCCCAGAGCTGTACATTTCCTCATTTCCCCTTCCCTTTGTAAATAAACCTTTTATTAACCTTTCGCGTGTGCCTGCAGTAGAGCATTGATAAGTCCTTTTAAGCGCGCGGGTGAGGACCCATAGTCGGGCACCCTGTTTTGTATCACGGTTGCTCTACAACATTTTCAACTTGGAATTGAAAGGGACAAAAAAAACGTCAGCAGCCTTCTACTCTAAGGGAGATATTGTAAGCCTTGATTGGAAGCTAAACAGAGACCTACATGCTTCACAGAAACTTACTTAAAATGAATCCTAGACCTAAATGTAAAATGCAACAAGATAAAACATCTAGGACATAACAGAAAAAATATAGGTGACCTTGGGGACATGGCCTTCTGGATACAGCATCAAAGCCATGATCCATGAAATAAAGAAGTGGTAACATGGACTGCATTAAAATTCAAAACTTCTGCTCTGCATAAGATAGAGAATGAGAAGACACACCACAAACTGGGAGAAAAATACTAGATATACCCCATAAAGGACCATTACCCAAAACATACAAAGAACTTTTAAAACTAACCATAAGGAAAAGCCTGGTTTGTTTTCTTTCCTCTTTTTTTTTTTTTTAATCTTACGGCCTGTGTTTTTTTTTTTTTTTTTTTTTTAAAGAGAGTGACTAGTAGCTTCTATTTATTTATTTGTTTGTTTGTTTATTTATTTATTTATTTATACAAGCACTGGGTATAGTCAGAAGCGCGGGAGGGTGAGAGAATTCACCAGAGCCAGAGCGGGGAGCAGAGCAGGCAGAAGGACCGAAGTACACTGCTGAGGGGAGCAGCGGGCGGCAGGAGAGGTCTGCGCGCCATGTGGGACCCTCCTCCGGTGGCCGGGGAGCAGCTGGGGATCGAACCGGCACTGCAGACGCTGCAGGCAGCTTCACAACCCAGCGCTCAACCACTGCACCACCCGGGGAGGCCCATGGCCTGTTTTTCAATTGGGCAAACATTTGAACAGACATTTCACCATGAGATATACATGTGGAAAATAAGCATATGAAAGAGATTGCTCAATAACACAGCATAAGGGAATTGCAACTTAAAAACAATGTTAGAATGGCTAAAATCCTAAATACTGATAATCCCAGACGCTGTCAAGAATTTGGAGCAGGGCCTCAGGCACAGCCACTTTGGAATATAGCTTGGTAGTTTTATGCAAAACTAAACATACACCATCCAGCAATTGCACTCCTAGGTATTTATCCTAATGAGTGAAAATTTATTACACAAAAACACCTACACAGGAAATTTATAGCAGCTTTGAAATAATGGTCGAAAACATTGGAAGCAGCCAATATTCTTTAACAAGTGAATGGATAAACTGTCATTCATCCATAAAATGCAATATTATTTAGGGATAAAAAACATGAAAGGACTGGGAAGAAATTTAGTTCATATTGCTAATGAAAGAATCAAATATAGTTGGGTCTTGTGGAAAATTCTGATAACAATTGAATGTTTTATGACTATTACAAGCTATTTACTTCTTCTTGTCAGCTTTGATATTACATTTTCCCTCTAATTTTCAACCCTACCGGCATATATTAATATTGTTCTTTAATCTGTCTTTAATCTATTTTTTTTCAGTTAATGAATTAGGATGTAATTTATCTTGGAGAGCATTTCATGTACAATTGCAAGGCATATAAATTCTGCTTTGGGTATAGTGCTCTACAAACCTCAGACGTGCATCTTGGTGTTATAATTTATATCTATACTTATTAATTTACTAGTTAATTTTTCTAATATATTTTCAAGTCTCCAAATGTAGTTGTGGATTTATCTATGTTTCTTTGCAGTTCTATCGATTTTTACTTTGGGGATTATAATGTGTTTTTGGTAAATTGCCCTCTTTATCATTATGTAATGTCCCTTTTTATCTGGAGAATATTCTTTCTTCTGAAGTCTTTTTTTTTATATTAATAGAGCTAGTCCAACTTTGTTTTGATTGGTGCTTGTATAATATACAGGTTTTTTTTTAATTAAAGTGAGTTTCTGATAGAAAGCATATATAGTTGGGTCTTGTGGAAAATTTTGATAACAGTTTAATCTTTTATGACTATTACAAGCTTTTTACTTTTTCTTGTCAGCTTTGATGTTACATTTCCCTCTAATTTTCAACCCTATTGGCATATATTAATATTGTTCTTTAATGTCTTTTTCTTTTGTTATTTTGCCGCCTTATTTCTATATACCTTTTCTTTTCATCTCAATAGTATGCCAAATGTTTGTCGATTTTTTTAGTCTACATTTTGTCTGATTCCATCCTATATATTGCATATGCTGTATTTTGTTTTCACTCCTGTTGTTCTTCCTATATTCTTAGCTTGGATACTTAGCTCATTTTCACCCCCTCTCCTTAAATATAACTATTGAAGGCTATAACTTACTTCAAAGCACATTTCTACCATGTGTCACAAGTTCTTTTAAGTAGTATTTTCATTATTTTAAAAATTTCAATTATTTTAGGATGCCCCTCATAATTTCTTTGATCTTTAAAATATTTAGAAATATGGTTTAAGCTATAAAATACATGTGTTTCATTTACCTTTATTAATGTGTAACTTAGTTGT